GATGGCGAGGGCCATGGCTGAGACTCGGAGGAAGAGATGCGATGGGGAGAGATGAGGTCAGCTGGACGTGGGCGTCCAGTGCGCAGCTGCGAGAAGCTGCCGGAGGCCTGCATGTTGTGTGCAGTGCAAGGTACACAGGATGTGTGAATAGGTCGCCTACGTTGAGGTCACAAACAGCAAAAAAAGGAAGCAGAGGCAAAGATGTGATATTGTCGTTCAGAGCAGTGCGCGACAATGTGCCGTCGCGAGGCGAGTGGGGTGATCGGTTGATTGGGTCGATCGAGTGGTCTTGTTGAGTTGGCAGTTGGAGTCGTGCTCGGATACCGTCGCTGGATGGTGTTGCGATGCTCAAGAGGGAGATCTTCGGACGATGGAGGCAGCAAATGAAGCAATGTGGCGGAAGAGCAAGTCTGCAAAATATTAATGGAGCTTGGGGAGGTCGTCAAAGGGCAAGGGCAGAGAGTGGTGCGCAAGGGAGTGGGCAAAGAGGGCAATGATGGTAGGGAATGAGTCGTCGTCTCGTGAAAGTTATAACAGTCGAGCGACGAGTGCAAAAGCGAGCGGTGAAAGCGAGCGGAGAAGGGCAAAGAGTCGGCCCAAGGAAGCAGAGAGGGGGGAAGAGGGGGGAGGGCGATGAGGGCGATGAGGAAAGAAGCTTCGACGGGCGCTAGTGAGAGCGACTTGCCCTTATGAGGAAGGCGAGGCACCCCCTGCGGAACAGACTGAGCCACACAGCGGACAGCATGACAAGTCGCTGTCTGACCGTTGGGTGGACCGTTGGTTAGCCTAACGGAACATGCGCTCAGTCGATCTTGCCGCTCAAGTCGTGCTCAAGTCGTACACTGCATGGCCTGCTTCTGCGCATCCTACAGCATGAAAGATGCGCCTGATTGCCTTGCAAGTCCGCCACGATTGCCGTCGGTCTATCTGGGAACTTTGGGCTGCCCAGGACCACACTCTGTGAAGTCATCGTTGTATCATGGCAGCGTTCGGAGCTCGGAGCATATCTGTGTGACGATGTGCGCGCCAGTCTTGAGTGCCAGATCCTCCGCCACCATGCTCGAGCCGAGACGAGGCTCGTCCAGA